CCGTCTCTCTCCAGGTGTCCAAATCACCCATAGTAAAGGGTATCTTAATTCTAGTGGGTCCTGTGGTCCCGACAGCCTGTCTCAAAGGTGCCTGTATCACCGGACCCGTCTTACTTCGAGTACGGGATGTTATGGGTGTAAACCCAGAAGCACCCGCACTCTCTTCTTCCTCCGGATCACTTGGCTCCTCTACTGCAACTGAATTATTATCTGTATGAATTTGAGATCTTAGTGGAGGTACATAGTCCTCTAATCTTTCCTCCCCTTCCTTTAGTTTGGTGCACCTTTGCCCGATGCTACAGGCTGAGCAACACCTTTTTAGCTTTCCTCCCTTCTTTTTCTGTTCCTTTTCTATAGCCAAAACAAAAGGATCTTGAGGAGCCAAGTTGATCCCACAATCTCGTTGCCACTCGGAGTGATTCCTCAGAGTGAAAAACATATCCGCGTACATAGCTTCGTCCCATTTAGATTCCCTTCTTAAGAATAACATTAATTGTAGTAACGTATTATAGTTCAGAGTTCCATTAATGGGCCATTTCTCACCATCTTCCAACTTGTACAATGGCCACCACTGATTACAATATTTTATAAGAGTTTTCTTATTCACGCTCCCTCCCGGGGGTCCTCCTAGTTCTTTCCAATGTGCTAAAATGCATCCCAGAGGGCTTTTCTTAAGAATACCACCGCTTTGCCCTCCTCCCATTCTGCTTATTTATACGACACACCAAATAGGATATTTCTCACAATAACAACTACACCAAAATAACTGGTTCTAACGTTAATCCACAGCCGGTTCCCAAGTCCGTTAGCAATAGTCTGTTAATCCAAAAGACAATACCAAAACCAAATGTCTGGTTACCTGCACGAACACCAAACCAAACGCACAAGAAGTGCTCAATTGCACACAATGTATGCTATAACAAAAGGCGTCCTTACATGCACTAGACCAAAAACAAACGTATGTTCAAAGTAATACTTTCAATTACCCGACATACACCATCCCGCATAAGTAAGTCTTACGTCTTACGGACAGCTTTTCCGAATGACCGGTCCCAAAGCGAAATTAAAAGAAATAAATACCTGTGCTCCTTTTAGGCAGATGGAGTCCTTGTCTGCCCCTGCAATGGTCCGAGTGAGGCGAGGAGTCCCTCCGGGAAATCCCGGGGGTACCCAAGGGAGTCCTGTTCTCAGCGGGTCTTGCAGCCGAGCAGAGAGGGTCCCATCTGGGGTGCCAAATTGAATCAAAGACACGACTCAATAATAGCAGCAGGCATTTATTGCGGCGCCGGGTGCAAGGGGGATATTTCCGCCTAGCATGCACACCCTGGCTGTAGTTTCTTGTGGTTTTATGCAATGATTACATTAATATTCATTAAGTGTTGCAATACACCTATACATACGCATATCCTGTCCCGCTTCGTATTAAAATTAGGTTTCCTCCTTCTTGCGCTTGCGCATGCTTAGTACCTCCTTGGTCCTTGTCCAAACCGCAAGTCTGGTTTCGGCTGGTTTTGGAGGGTCTTACAGAGGGTCTGGCCTCTCCTTATCTCACAAGGTTCCTCCCTATCAGCACATACTGCTATACAAATTATCTATTCTCTTACAGAGGGTCTGGCCTCTCCTTATCTCACAAGGTTCCTCCCTATCAGCACATACTGCTATACAATCTTGCTAAGCTTACAAAATGCCTAGGGCATTGCAAAACGCCTTAAGGCTAGCCGAAGCGAGCTAAACAAAGTTAGGGCTTACAAGCTCTTACTAGGGAAGTTAGAACTGAGTACATGATGTTGCTTAGGCGGTTAATGCTTAGCCTTTGCGGTTAGCACGAAACACACTGGTACTTGGTTAAACAATATGTTATTCTATAAAGATAAGGTTAATATATAATGTAGGATATTAATTCTACTTCTTGGGGTTTTTTTCCTGTATCAATATACCCGCTAACGACAGTTTTTTACGTCCATCAAATAACTTTTTTTATTTTTTACAGAACTACTGCACTTTAACAGTGCAGAAAAGATTCTTTTTTTTATCCAAAATATAAGACCCACCCACAGAACTAAACCACTTCCCTCTGTATTTGCGATGAAGAAAATCCTCCCGCGCACCTCAAACCCGAAATAAAGGGCACTGTGCGACCCCCTCGGGTTTATATACTCAGAAGGCGGACCTGAGGGAAAACCTCCTCCTCAAGTCCCCCCGCGGTGACGTTAGCGCCCGCTCGGACCAATCAGAGCGCAGCACCGCTTTGAAGGCGAAAGCGCCATCGGGGAGAACTCACCCCGAGCAGCGGCGTCCCGGAGGGGAAAAACCCCTGAATCACAGTAGCCCAGAAACCGCGATTTTGCTAAAAAACACAGAAATAGCCCCTTTTAAAAAACAGGTTTTAAAACCGCCCCGCCCACGCGCTCTACAAACCGTTCCGAGCCTCCAAAAGACCCCCCCCAAAAAAGGGGAGCAGCAGCGACAGCTCTTTCGCAGAGAAGGTGGGGTGGCTCTGAAAAGAGCCGTTGGGTCGAGAGCGGAGCCCGAGCGGGTTCCCGTCGCTTTTTAATTTTATTTTTTACTTGGAGCTGGTGTACTTGGTGACCGCCTTCGTGCCCTCCGAGACGGCGTGCTTGGCCAACTCGCCCGGCAGAAGGAGGCGGACGGCCGTTTGGATTTCCCTCGAGGTGATGGTGGAGCGTTTGTTGTAGTGGGCCAAGCGGGAGGCCTCGCCGGCGATGCGCTCGAAGATGTCGTTGACGAAGGAATTCATGATGCCCATCGCCTTGGAGGAGATGCCGGTGTCGGGGTGCACTTGTTTCAGCACTTTGTAGACGTAGATGGAATAACTCTCCTTCCGGCTGCGCCGCCGCTTCTTATCCCCTTTCTTCTGCGTCTTTGTCACCGCTTTTTTGGAGCCCTTTTTGGGGGCGGGCGCGGATTTCGCCGGTTCAGGCATTGCGCTACAGCTGCGATCAAACTACGGAACACAGTGGAGGCAGTGGCGGCGGCGGCGCCGCTTTTATAGCGGCGTTATGCAAATAAGGGATCCAACCGCGGCTCTCTCCCATTGGCTGAGACAGCCGGGACGCGCTCCAGCGCGGCAGAACCCCCCCTCAACTGCATGCAAACAACCCGGCTCCAAAGCGCACGCTCTGATTGGGCGCTGAGCCTTAACCAATCAGAGCACGCCGTTTGGATCCTGGGGTGTACAGCGTGGATATGGGGGGGGATGTAGAGCCGCGCCGGTCGCTGTGGGAGCTCTGAGTCGCGACAGTGGGGGGCAAAACCGCCCCCCCCCCGGTGGGGACAGCGCTCTGAAAGAGCCGCAGAGGGGGAATGAGGGTCCACACCACCCTGGGAGGAAGGCAGAACCGGAGGCCCC